GGGACAAAGGACAGAAAGTGATCGAACCACCGCTCAAAAACATCAAGTCGCATCCATCCAGTGTCATTACAAGTAAAAAATGTTCCAGGAGGAGCACTATCCGTTAATTCCACCTTCATTCTTTTTCTGTTAAAAATCAGCATGGGAGGTACAAAGCTGCCTGCAGCTGAAACACAAATAACTGCTCTAGTAGAAACTCCACGCTCTGCTGAAGTTACTCGTGCTACTTGCTTTGAACCCATTTTGGCTAAGATTTTTGAATTTCGTGAAGGGACTATTGAGAGAGACGTCTCGTCCACATTGAAGATCCGGTGAGGAGCAAAATTAAATTTTGACTGTGTGTCTCTAAGCAAATTTAAAAAATTTGTCACAGCTGGCTTGTTAAATGCTCTAGCTCTGGCAGCCGATGTAGCTTTAGGACATCTTAAGGATATTTCTAGATGCCTTTTTCTAAAGCCAGACAGCCAATCCTTACCAGCAGCTTGCTCCTTGTGGGAAAATGGATGCTTAATTTTATTTTTGCCGCTAATTGGTAGCCGTAGCTCTCTACATTCTGGACTCACAATCTAAAATATGTGAAACTATTTCTAGTTCTTGCTCTTGCGAAAAAACTGGACAATGGCTGCTCAATAATTTTTTGTCCATCTTCGATATCTTATTTTTGTTTAAAAATCGACGTTTCAGGGAAATTCGTGGAACGCTGAAAATTCCTGCGGATGTTTTTATAGGCATACCTCTTCTGAACTCCTCCAACGCGTTTTTCATATGCTCCTCCTTCCAATTTTGCCTCTCAGTCTTACGCTTATATGTTCGCAGCATTTTCTGAAAAAAAAAAAAAGAAAAATATATAAATAAAATATGATAGTAAACTGCATAAAACCTACTCTCTTATACTAAAAATGACAAAAAGGGGCCGCGCAGGGCCTATATTTTCCACATTTAGAGCATAATCTACCGTTGTTGTAAATACCAGCCTAAAAATTAACTTAGCGGGGCAAAACGATCCCGGGACCATTTTACCCCGCATAGGTGGGATCATTTTACCCAGAACTGTACTTTTAACACATAACCTAAAATACTATTTCCATAAAACGACTGACATAAAAGAACTATCTATGATTAAATTTGGTTATATCAGGACATGATAAATTACACCTAGATTTAAGAAAACTCTACATTTATTAAAAATATTCACTGCAAGATATACCTTACCTTAGATCAAAAGCACAAAAAAAACAATGTTTCCTCGTCACAGTACGGAATGCAACTAATACGTGTTTTAAAGCATCAGCGATCACTAGATTTCTCGCGTAGCACTGTTTTTAGTCTTCGGTTGACAGATGGAGCTACTAGGTTCACTAGAAATCGGGGGATCATTTGAACCCACGGGGATCATTTTGCCCCACTCTCCCCTATATGTGAAAATTAGAACTGCACATAGGTTAGAAAAAAAAACTAATAATACGGCAAAAAGAAAAGTTGATTTTATAGAAAATAGGCTAATTGAATATTACGTTAATCAAAACCTTACTAAATTAGACTTCATTAAGTCAGTTTGCAATTATTATACAGCTAACTTTTAATAAACAAAAATATAGTGTTCACTCTATACTGTGTTCACACTTACTTATTCACTAATCAGACATTAGAATTAAGCATTGTTATTGTTTAAGTAGTTATTGTAGTGCAGTTATTGTTATTGTATATTAGTTAATGTAGATTTATAAATAAACTTTATTCGATTAAATTGTGACAGTTTCATTATTTAAAAATTTCTAATTTTTGCTCTTATTTTAGGAATTGGGTTCCTTTTTGAATACAATAAAGGATTCGGTTAATCTTTGAGATAACAAGTAGCCGTTTTCAATTGGCTTTAAAACCCGATAAAATCTAGGTAGCGTGGGGCAGTTCGTAGTCGCCCAGTGGAATTAAGTTATGTTTTAAGATACTTACAAACGTCATCAAAGGAGGCATAATACAGGCTAAAATAAAATAAACTGCATGTTGCGATGAAACCGCCTTAGTAATAATCGTATGTATATCATTTACAACTTGTAGTAACAAAAACAAGTGGCTCAATATGAAAAAATATCCAAATATGTTACCAACGTACTCAAACTCTTCCACTGTTCTTTGATAACTCTGTCTCAAATCCAATATATCTTTGATAACTTGTTTCTGATCGGGAAAGAGTCTTAGAGAAATACTCTTCAGAAAGATATTGAACTGCTTGAACCTATTTTTAAATATCAGCACTATATGACCGGAAAATAGTATAGAAAAAAGTAGTAGATACCTTGAAAGTATTGTTACATATACAAATTCCGGTAACTGAAATTTTACCGATAAAATTTGAAAATCGAAAAAGCTGTAAAGTATGAATAAAATGTGAAAAATGATTTGTTCGTACGGAAAAGGCACAGCGGTTTTGCATTCGGTTTCGAAAAATTTAATAGACTTAGCCAATTTAATTGAATCATCTGAACCAGAAAAAAAGTGTGATGAAAAAATTAAAACCATCACCGAAAAGTTGGCTGTTACGTAAGTTAAGATTAAGGATATTTCTTGGACTACAGGCATGGATTTAATAAGTACGAACATGGAACATATCAGCATCGCAATAAAAATAAGGCTATAAATTCTGTTATATAACATTCTCATACTTGAAAATGGAAGTAGAGGTATGACCTTCGCCCAAAAAAAGATCACTTTACTACTGATGTTTCGACTGTTACTAGTATTTATATCTCCCTTTGTTTGTGGGTATTTTTGAATATCAACGATTTTATTGTTAGTCATGATTAGAATGTGCCTAGTTTAGAAACAATTTAAAACTGGCGATATCCTCACAAAGCTCACATGCTTTCAATATATCTGATTAAAAAATATACTTAACATAATTAATTGTTTATTCGGGCTAAACATGAAATAAAAATTACTCTGTTTTCTATTAATTGAAGTATAATTACCAAGTTTATCAAAAAAATTGTTATATTCCACATTTTATATAGTTTTACCTATTTAATAATTAATTTATAAATTGCCCATGTTTTTAGATTGTTTGTAATGTTGGTGATGTGGATATTTAACTCGTATATTTATTCACTTGGTTTACACAAAAAAATATTATGTACCTAGTTATTTAAAAAGTATAATCAATAGTGTTACATATAAATATCTAGATATAATACGTCTCAGTACTGTAGTTGTTTCGAGCATTGGTATTCACTTACAGGCAATTTTTAATTTTTTGCATGGTTTGTTATAGGATTTGATGGGTGCCCTATTAGCAGTAATTTAATTTATCTTGATATGGCATCCAGATTACAAATCGCCATGCATTACCGTTTCGATGATGTTGGACGAGATTTTCCAGGTTTTCCTCACCTGTAAATCGAGACATTTAAAAATAAATTTTAAAGTGTCAAAAGTTTGAATTTTAATAAATGTCATATTATTTAACCTGGTTTATATATCAGCACCTCAGAGGTAAGGTGTGTTAAGTCACATTTTTCAAAGAAGAGTTTTCTCCACTTTTGGATTTACCATACCAAATTCTATCTAGTGGAAAATAGATGTAACTCCCTAGTTGCATCATCTCGACAAATGATGACGAAACGCTCGGCAAGTCGCAAACCAAGTATTGCAAATTTGTGGTTAATAATAAGTCAAATTTTAGGAAAAAGTAAAAAACTAAAAATCGAAATAAATTGACCGTTTTTTTAAATTTTTAAACAAGTGAATTTTAAAATGTTTCTTCTGACAAATGTAGATTTGGCGACTTAACACAACTTACCTGTGAGGTGCTCATATGGGTACACCAGATTAACATTCATATTAAATACTGATTGATAATGAAATGAGAAAAAGAATAAAAAGTCATGAATTACTGTGAACCCTTTTATTAAATAATTATTAAAATAGTTATTAGACAAACGTTCAATTTTGAGTTTTATCATTTAGCGGAATAAAAAATGGACGTAATAGTCTTAGGCTAGAGTCTAAGGTAATAGTTCATACATAATGGCTTAAGTGATAACACGCCTAGGGCACTTATCAGTGTACGTCAGAGCTGATAAACGTGACTGAAACTGAACGTTTATTTTAATTGGTTTTTTATTGATCCCAGAAATTTTCAAAGTAAGTTTAATTTCTATTTATTAACCGACTTCAAAAAAGGAGGAGATTCTCAATTCCTCAAAATATTTTTTGTATGTATGTTCAGCGATAAATCTTTAACACGCTGTCCGATTTTAATTATTCTTTTTTTGTTAGAAGGGGGGTACTTCAGGGGTGGTACCATATATTTTTTTTCTCTCCTGGGCTCGTCTGACTATGTGTCTCCGAATAACACTGAAGCCTATTGGCTTATTGTGTTTTACCCCATGTTGGTTCATAGCACCCACTCTATCACCTTTGTACCTTGTACAAGTTTGTACAGATCCTTGGGTGAGTGGGTTCTATACGTTGTTGGATCAACCTGGGGTTGTCCAAAAAGAGCCTGTCTCTTTTTGGACAACCATATAAATTTGGTCAAAATCTAATAATTGGCTCCATGAGAAAATCCTCAAACTCTTAATTTTTATGTATGTTTAGCGATAATTCTTTACCACCTTGTCCGATTTCTATGATTATTTTTTGTTAGTAAGAAGGCACTTAAATATCAAAAATATAGTAATTTTTTTAGAAATTTTGCAGTGAACTTGTGCCTAAAATTGAAAACATTTGGGAAAAGGCATCAGTTCCAACTGTTCCAAAAGACAGAATTGTGCAATTAATACGGAATTATTATGAAAAATATAAGAATGCGATAAGGCATCCCAGAAGCAAGCGAAACATCAGCTATGACAAAAAGGTAAATACATTTTAAATAGAGTGTCATAATAAATTACTTGACATAGCTGCTTGTAAATGCGATTTTTCTGCATGCATGTGTGAAAAGACTTGGAAAGTACCTACTAAGGAACAAAATTTTCATTCTGGTCAAAGATGACCGAAAAATGAGCATAGGAAATGTAGATCGTGAAGAAACAAAGAAAATATTGTCGAATAAACAGAGACAATCCAGAGAAATCGAAAGACTAAAAAAATATAAATCAGAATCTTGCAATTTATTAAGACCCAGCTGTTCCTCTCAAACTACTAAATTATTATCAGGGTCAGCATCTGACCCCTCAAAATATGAATCCTCTTCAGATCTTATTAATCCAAACTTACCCTCTACCTCAAAAAACACTCAAATGAGACCAACGTTACCTACGTTAGCTCTTGTATGCGATAAATATGGTATATCTACCGCAAGGAAGGAGTTTGAAAGTGATAACAGAAGAATAAGAAGTCTATATTTTGATGGAAGAAAGGACAAAACTTTACTGCAAGAGAAGAAAAACGGTAGATTGTACAAGAAAACTGTTGTCGAAGAACACATATCGCTGAATCGATCTATATTGGTTATGCAAGTAACTCCAACTACAGGGACGGCAAAGTCAATTGAAAAAGCAGTATTGGACTTTTTTGCTAAAAACAATTTGGAACTAGATGATTTGGCGGCTGTAGGTTGCGATGGGACTGCTGTTAACACCGGTAATAAAAATGGTGTTATTAGGTATATTGAGACTGAATTGAAATGTCCTTGTCAATGGTATATTTGCCAACGAATTGCCATTAAGACATTTAGATGGCAGCACAGTGGGACTTTGTCAATATTCTGGTGAAATCGGGAAGTCTTTAGAAAAATGTGAACGTCTTAAAATTGTAAATTTTACATCGATAAAATGTGAGTTGCTAAATATAACTGTAATGTCTAGAGATTTAAGTTCTGATCAATCATATTTATATGACATTTGCAATGCAATATTAAGCGGCAATTTCTCATCAAATTTAGCACACCTTAATCCTGGGAAATTAGCGCATTCACAATGGCACATCATCGTGTTCTTCGGCTCTATGCTAGAACGGAAATGGCCTAAGGTGAAATGATTATATTTTCGACAAAGTCGAAACATCTGGGGGGTACTTTATGTGAGGCCGTTTTTATATTTTATGGAATATATGTTATTTACGTTTGGAAGAAAAATTATTTAAGTAAAAGTTACTTATAATATTATTTCCTATAATTTTTGTTCTGTACAAAATTTTCCTAAAATGATCCGTATTCGAGAAATTTGACAAAATATAAAAATAGAAATTTTTTATAAAAATTATTCAAATAAAAGTTGTTTGTAATATAATTTTTATTTTATGCATAATTTCTCTAATATTCGAGTTATTTGAAAATGTATAAATTACGAATTTTGAAGAAAATTTAAAAACGAATAAAGGAAAAAACATTAAATTTTAAACATAAATTATATTTTGCATAAATTAGATTTTGCACAAAGTCAGAACATCTGGGAGGAACTTTATAGGAGGTCGTTTTTAAATTTTATGGAATATATCTGTTATTTATGTTTTTAAAAGAAAATTGTTTAAATAAAAGTTACTTCTAATATTATTATCTATAATTTTTGCTCTATTCCAAATTTTCCTGAAATGTCCGTATTCGAGAAATTTGAGAAAATATGCAAAATTCTGATTTTTAAGAAAATTGTTAAACTAAAAGTTGTTTGCGATATCGATCTCTATAATTTTTGTTTTTTACATGATTTTTCTAAGAAGTGCTAAATTTAAACTTTTCAGTATTTTCGTTTTCAATGAATATCTATAGAAAAATGTTTCGAGTTAGATGTATGAGGAAAATGTATATATTTAGTTTATCCTCTAAACATTTATAGAGGTGTTGTACAAAATAACCGGAAAAAGCCTTTAATAACTAGATAGGAAAGTCATGTGTTGGACACATCAGATTTTTTATGTATGTTTAGCGATAATTCTTTACCACCTTATCCGATTTCTACGATTCTTTTTTATTATTAGTAAGGGGTGGTCCCATATAAATTTGATTAAGATGTGGTGACGGCATCTGCACGATTTTGAAGTCGGTTTTTTAAAATTACATAAGGTATAAATAAAATGTCCACCTCTTGAACCTGTTCTGCATATTAAATTACTGCACAATTTAGTGAGCGCCGTACAGCATTTTTCAGGTGTTTGCAATCATTAATTTTTAGAGTTTTTGAATTTTTGATATGGCATCAAAATCTGGATTGTTAATATGTTAATTTTATCATCGAGTATTTCGATTTTACTAGAAGTAAATTTGATCAGAAGTGTGCGAACTGGTGAGTAGTTCGGTGCATCTTCTATTTTCTCAGCTGATCATGCGCGGATACGAGGGGGGTGGGGGTAAAAGGGTAATTAACCCTCCCCTATCTGCCCGAAGAAATACTGGAATTTATTAGATTGTAACCTCAAAAACAAAAAACAAGATAATATTACGGGCATTTTTTTTGTGTCGGCAATAAGGTTGATACTTCAAAAAAAATGAACCTGTAAAGTATCCTATTTTTTAAGGTGTAAAATCGATACCAAAAGTCCAAAAGAGGTTTAATTGTCCCCAAAATGTTTAATTGCTCTCAACTACGAGTGTTGCTCTTGTTTGCATTTTGAATATAGTCGTTCCATCCCATTCACCATTTGATTCACCCTGGGTTTTCAAGAAAAAATGTCAAAATAGTCGCCATGTATTAATCGGTAACGTAAGGGCAGAAAATGTAATATCCAGCTTTGTGTGTTGTTGTGTGAGAGATATGGCTTCGGACGGTGTCCATTTGCCACAGAATGTTTAAATAATAAAAACGGAATACAGAAAATAAAGAAATAAGAGAAGTAGTGTCTCAAATATCTAGCTTAGTATCTCATATAAATTTAATTAAAATATCGAGGATATGTTTATCGGTACTTGTCAGAAGGGATGTCAAATTTACTGGTAGAGGAATATCCAGCTTTATAGTTCACAGACCGATTTACACATATTGCTCAAATACGGCCCTAGTGGCCAATATGATGGACTGTATTTTCATTGTAAGATCTATGTTGTAGAATGATTCCTATAATCATTTTCTCTGCTGCCTTGTTACACTGATAATAACTGAAAATCTGATTATGAGGCATTTAATTCAAAGTTCACATGTATTTGACATATTGTATTAACATTAAAACCATTTTAAAATTCAACAAAGTATCACAAATAACTTTGAACTGATAAAAATAAGTTTCAGTTAGAAGAAAAATAATTCACTTGTTAGTTGAACTATATTAGAAGAACCTATATAAGCGGTTGTTGCATAGAATATGGCATATAATTACTCGAGTTAGGTATATGTGTTAGTTATTGTGCGAAAGCTTGAAGCATTCAGTCCGCAACGACGGGGTTGACAGAATAAACGAAGTGAGAAATACATTATATGGTGAAATGATACGAATCGTTGAACGAGAAATTATGTTATATGTGAGAAGCACGAAGCACCGGACTGGGATAGCCTGATGTACTAATGTATTATGTTGGGTGTATTTCCACCACACTGCAATTTACTTAATTTCTGCAAACAAAAAATAAAAATCATTTTTACGAACATTTAGTGTTAACTATACTCTTTGCTAAAATACAGTGTTACCAGAATTACATACACACTTTCTATGAAAAAAATCCAGATATTGACCTGGAAGAACTAGAAAAGTTAGCTAAAGGAGGACGAAAACTACAAAATGGTGGTAAGTAATTAACAAAAATATATTTAAACTTTCAGTAAGCATCATAATCATTTATGTAACTCTTGTTTTTGTTAGTGGAATGCCATGTACAATTTTTAATGTTTTATGTTCGACAAAAATATTTAAAATATTCCATTAGCTATGTGCACTTAATTTGTATTTGTACAAAGTTTGTTAATTTTTTTTATTTTTTAGGTTCAATGAAGATCCAATGGAATCAAGCAAATGAAACTCAAACCATTGATATAATAAAATATTGATTGGTTAAGGCCAAAGATAGTATTTGTAATAAAAATAAGTATGAATTCTTTGAAATAAATACTCATTATATACACTTATTCTTTAATGTTCAATATTAATTAAACATGCTGTATTAAGGTGTCTAGTATATGCCTAGCATATTGTATATTTAAATACTTAGCATATACTTAGAACGTACTATCAAATTAAAGTAGATACCTGTTGCATACTGTAGACATACTTGAAGTACATTCTCAGTATCTGCATAGCACGTATAAACGTCACGTAGCATATGCTTAGCATATTCTGAGAATGTACCAAATGCAAATACAGTATATTCTAAGCATATGCGTATTCTTAAAAAGTATATACTAAGAATATGCTAAGAATGTATATTTGTTATCTGGGAATCTTCTACTACTACACAAAATCAAAACCCACAAGACGCCACTGGTTGACGATATTTCACGAACTGTGATTTAATCAAGGATAATATATCAAGACCTTGATAATATAGTCAGCTATTTTTGTTGAATCTAAATCTCGAGAATATTTTAATATCAATTTGATGAGACATAATTTTTGGCATTAATAATCTGATTAGAGCCCAAGAGCTTTAGCTCGAAGGCTTTAATCAATTGATTATTAATGCCAAAATTATGTAGAATCAAATTTTAAAATGTTCGAGAAATTTAGCAACAACAAAAATAGCGTGTTATTTTTGGAACGACTATTTCACTAGACCAAATATCGACTATTTCTCTATACTAATAATAATAATCTATATTTAATATAGGAAGTCTTAATCCAGACAACACACCAAATCCCAGAGATATCCACAGAATATCTTTTGTGGATATCCAATATATCCACAGGATATCAGAAATATTCCGTGGATCTAATATGGATATCCAAATGTCCGTCTATATCCAGAATATAGAAGATATCATATGGATTATCCAGCAAAATATCTAATGGGTATCTTCCAGACAATACTGGAAATCCCAGAGATATCAACAGAATATATTTTGTGGATATCCAACCAAATGTCCGTCTATATCCCAGGATATAGAAGAATTCGAATATTCAGCAAAATATTTTATGGGTATCTTTAGTAGAGGTTCATAAAAGTAACCAATGTTTATTGAATAACGTCGAAAGAAAATAGCAGAAAAAAAATATTTTCAACACTCTGCCTTTGATTTTGCCCACTAAGGAGAAAGTCCTTATTAGGACTCTTCAGCAATAAATGGAAATTCTCGACTCCAGTTTCTAATGGAGTCTGATTGGGAAACAAATTTCGATCGAACTCAATTACGGCGGATTAAGCATGAGTAGATGCGAAAGTGGTATCGCCATCTATACTTAGTAAGCAAAATCAAAAATTACATCTAGTGGATATCCACGATGGTTTGCGTTCGCGCCTAGACTTTGATTATTTAGTGGATGTCCATGGGATATTGAATACACCTTAAAAAAATTAATTTTAAATATCTGAACGGTACTATTAACCACAATGGCGAGCACAATGGCGTAATTTTTTAATAATTTGCTATATAATTACTATTATTTATGGAGATTTGCATGTCTATAAATTACATCTCATGGATATAAAATAGATATCCACCATGGACTGGACATTCAGTGGATATTGGGATGTTCAGTAGATATCCAAAAGATTTGGTGTGCTGTCTGGAAATACATAATAGTTTTTTTTAAATATTACATATTATCGTCAGTCTGCACAAATTCAGTTGAATAAATAAAATAAAATTATGATAGAATTAGTAATAAAATCAGTAATAAAAGTAAGACGTTTAGT